TCTGCAGGAAGTGGAGCATTGTCGAAAATTTTAGGATGTTTTCTCACATTCGAGAGGCTTCTAATAGCATTGTAAGCATCAAATGAGCTAAATGAGTCGTTGAGGTGGTTGGATTTTATCTGCCATCACGAAGCGGAATAGAACGCAAGAGACACTTGGAGCAAGACATCTCACAACCTAAGCACATCGCAAGACCAAAGCATTGACTCGGAGAGCACAAAACGAAGTGACCTGGGATAAGCCTTTATGTGATGGGAAATTTGCGTGAGCACTACAGTTTTACGACATGGGTTTGTTTGCGAAAGATTTCGGTAATGTTGCTCTAGCTGGAACGTGCAGAAGTGCGCTCAGATGATTAGAAATGGAAACGTGAAGCGAGGGATCCGTAAAATATAATCCTTAGTTCATAACAGCAAAAATACAGTTGTGCATTGGAAACTGGAGCCAACATCCAATGAGCAAGTTTTTTGTTTACCGCTTGCGATGGTTCGGCTATATTATCACTTGACTGACGTTGGATTGGTTGAATCCAACCTGTTTATTCACACTTAAATAGGCCGAGGTCTACGTTAGCTTGCAGGGCAGTATGCTTCGTACGTATGTTTCAACATAAATTTTCAAGTGCCTACCGCATAGATATACAAAATAGATAGGACAGTTGAATGGAATGGTCTGCTCGTTGGTATGTAAAACCAGCCGCAATATTGGTAAATACAAGAAAAATAGACTCGAACCTAACAGAGCCATCGCAACGCCTGGGGCGAGGAGATCTCTGCGTCACATCGTGGAAGCAAAAATTAAAACTAGAGGCGATTTTGAAGGTCAACGGTCCTGAAACATCTATGTCTTATATTGCACTGTTCAATGAGTTAGCCGTATGGAGAAATCCCCGCCGCCGACCTCCGCGGCCGTGGCCTGCGCGGACGGTCCGCCGTGCTCACACCGAACGATGGCACACATTCCCGTCTACCTGAGGCTTTAGAAATCCGCGGGAGTCGGCTGCAGTCGCATCCCATGGACGCCATTCGTTTGGAAAGCCTGTGGAGCATGGACCACCTCTGATGACCGCGGCGGCTCCTCCGCTGACCCGGACGGTTCCGCCACGCTCACGCCGAGCATCGGCGGGACTGAGGCTCTTCCCGGCGCTCGCACGGCCAGTGGCGTGGGGTTTGCCCGCCGTTGTGCCGGAGTCCGTGGTGAGCGCACAGCGGCGTAATGTTTGATACTGCCGTGGGCTGGACGCTAGCACGCATGGTAACGCAGTGATGCTGTCGGTGTCCACGGGTTGGCACCCGCGTGGGTGGCACCGACTGCATCGTGCGGGGCGTGATGTCGCCTTCCGCTGCCTTCGCCACTTCCACGGATTTCACAGACAGATGAGGGGCACAAGTACTTGCCGCGCTCAGATATATTGGGCGCCCAAGCAGACTAGGCCAGAGAGTGGCTGGCAGGTTCTAGTAGATGGAATGCATGCTTATGAGCACCCAAAACACACCAATAAATACCACAGCAAT